ACCTTCTGTTATGGTTTTTATCTGGAATGTCCCCTGTCCTGAAGGCTGGGTCCCCAGAGCAGCAGTGTTCAGCGGTGGAGCTTTGGGGCGGTGGTTGGATCATGAGGCTCTGACCTCATCAGTGGACTCGCGGTTGGGGTGGACTAATGGGAGGTGGCGGAAACTGAAAGAGATGGGACCTAGTTGAAGGAGTAGGTCCTGGGGGTGTGCTCTTTGGAAACTATACCTTGTTCCTGCCCTTTCCTCCCTTCCCTCCTCTCTACTCCTCCTTCTCCTCCCCCTCCCCCTCCCCTTTTCTCCTCCCCCTCCCCCCATCTCTTACTGGCTGCCTTGAGGTGACAGCTCTCTCTGCTCCACCACACCCTTCCTATCTTGACGCTCTTCCTCACCTCAAACCCAGAGCCATGGAGCTTGCCAACCTTGGACTGGAACCTCTGAAACCATGGGCCCAAATAAATCTTTCCTCCTTTACAGTGTTTTTCTCAGTTGCTTTATCACAGTGACCAAAAAAACGGACTCACATACCTCCATCTTGGTTCACACGACCATCCTGACCCAACCCCTGTGGCTGAGGGAACTGGGATGCTCATTGGTCTGCCCATGTCACAGGATATAAAAGGTGGAGTCCATCCACTTCCTGGTATATCCTTGACTTTCCAGAAATTCTGAGCTCAAACAACCCATTCCCAGGTTCCAGTTCTCCTCTGAGGTGAGTGTCACTGCTGTCCCTGACCCCAGGCGTAGTAGCCTCGTATGGTTCTGGTTGGTCAGAGAGGTCTGAGTCCATCCTGGGGCCAGCATAGGGCTTCCACTGGTGAAGAGGAGATAAGGCACCAAGGAGCAAGGCAGCAGAGAGAGGGGTGAGAGGGGTGTCTTGGAGACCCTAGGGCAGCATGGGGTGTGGGCTTCCTGGCCCAGCAGGGAGGGGCCTGAGAGCCCTCAGGGTTCAAGGGAAACCTGACAGGCTTGAGGCCACTGAGGCTCCCGTGGAACCCCGTGCTGTCGCTGCTGTGGCTAAGATGCAGCCTTCCTGAGGACTGTAGAGCCTCAGCCGGAGCTCCCGGCTGGCAGCAGGCACAGAGCCCAGAAACTCTCAGGGGCAGCAGGCAGGGTGGAGCAGGCCCTGGGGCCAGCGAGGCTGGAGGCCTGGGATGGAATGCTCAGAATGTAGGTGGGAGCCAGCTGCCTCCCCAGGCCTGCCCTGACCCAGCGGCCTCCATCCTTGGTCCCCCAGACTCCAAGCCCAGCCTCATCCAGCATCCCTGGAGTTGGGGAGGAGCCTGGTCTCTGAGGAGGAGCCTGTGGCCTCTGCTGGGTCTCATCTCCTCTTAGTTTTCTCCTTCATGAATGGATGTAGGATCCGTGACCATGTGAGAGGTGTGGTGGGCAGGGGCAACCGGCGGCTGCAGGGGCCACTTGGCACCCTTAGGGACCATGGCTGCCTCAACCCAGGGAGAGGGGGAGATGCCAAGAAGGGTGGGTGGGCCTGAACCCCACAACCCTGTGCCGGATTCCACCTGCATAGACAGCTTGCCCTGCCCACTGGGGGCAGGTATCAGAAAGGATCAGGCCACGGGGTCATGATGCAGCCCTCATAGTTGACAGCTGGGCTCATGGCTCTCCCTGTAGGACCTAGAGGAGACTCATCTGCAGAGACAGAGGTGAGCCCATCCTCCTCCCCAGATGCCCAGAGCCAGGTCAGGACAGGCTGCTCAGAGGGGCTTGGGTTCCAGGAGGTAGGAGAAGTCCCTACTTAAGGCAGAGACCCTGAGGATTCCACAGGTGGCTGGTGGGGGGCGGTGTCCAGGGTTATATGAAGATCTGGGGCTTCAAATTGACCTGCTGCCTCCATGGGAGGGTGGGAGACAAGCCCAGGTGGTGTCTAATCCACCTGGGTCCAAATCCCCCTCTGCCTTGTCCTGGGAGAGTGGTGGCCTGTCTGGGTCTCAATGTGCCTGTCTCTAGGGTGGAATCAGGCATCTGAGAGGGAGGTGTCGCTGGTGTTGATGGGACCCAGAAGTGAAGCAGGAGAGTGCTGGACCTCATGCACCCTCCATTTCCCCATCAGTAGATGAGGATTCCAGACCCAAAGTGTCCAGAGGCCGTGCGACACAGTGGGAGGACCACGGGCCTTCCCAAGGCTGTCTGCTCCTACTCTGTGCCAGGCTCTGCTGGAGGGGCCCCATCCTGCCCTCTCAGAGGTTCTGCTCTCCCTGGAGAAGCAGGCTAAACAAGAGAATAAGGAGCCAAACAAGAAGTGGAGCCAGGCACAGTGGCCCAGGCCTGTAACCTCAGCTACTCAGGAGGCTGAGGCAGGAAGATTACCTCTGGGGAGGCCCTCCAGGAAGGAGGACCTGCAGGCAGAGCCCGGGCCCAGAGCAGAGCAGGTGCAAGGTGGAAGGAAGCTGTGGGCTCTGAAGGTGGGGCAGCCGGAGGAAACCAGGCTACAAGTGTGGCAGGGCCAGGGGTACAGGTGGCATTCAATTCCCCTTGTTCCAAGAACCCAAGTGACATCCAAAGTACACTTGCTTCTCTCATAGGGCTGGCACTCAGAAGGTGTGGTAGCAGTGCCTGGCACATAAGCAACATGATATGGACAGTGAGTGAGTGAGTGAATCCTGGCCAGCCCTTAACTCACTGTGTGACCCCAGGTGAGTATACTCCTCTCCCTGGTCCTGTTTCACTACTGCCAAGACACCCTCTGAATCATGATTCTCTTCTCAGGCAGTACGTATCGGGCACCTAGCTGCATCAGGCCTTACTGTGGGCTGCATCTTCTTCCCGGGACGCTGCAGATGCAGCCAGCACCTGACTCTGGGCTTGGTGTGCCAGATGAGGCCGTCAGCCGCCTCTGCTACCTACAGCAGAAGCTGAGCTCCAACATCTCTGCTGTGGGCCTGTCCACTCCTCTCTTCTGTTTTTCTCTTTTTTTCTCCTGTGTTTGGACCTGAGGAAACCTTTCTGCTCAGGAGTCCTGATCTCTAAGCTCTGTCCCTGGACTGGCACCAGGAGCTGCCAACCTGAAGGCCGTGCAGGCAGTGGGCTGGGATGGGCACAGGACACCATGGATCCTGTTTCTGAGACCCCGGGAGCCACCTCCCCCAGCTCAACTTGGGGCCCTTCTTCCCAGGCCAGGGGTGGCCTCTTGTGCCTGTGAGGGAGGGGTTGGCCTTGGGGAGGAGGAGGAGGAGGAAGGACAGGGAAGAGGCGGAGAGCCAGCACCTGCCCATGGTTGGCTAATTGTCACTGTTCCACAGGTGAGCAGTGGTGTGTGCCTGGGCCTGGGCTATGGGGGCAGAGCAGGTGACTGAGGCCCAGGTCGCCCAGACTTGTGGGTACGGAGGCTTGAGGCAGATGCTCCTAGCAGCCCTCTTGCCAGGGTGTCCAGCTGAGGGGATTCTGGGGACAGACCCACAGTGGAGTGGCTTATGGCTCTGCAGGCAGAGGCCCCTCACTGCCCCTGTTGGAGCCTTGGTCTCCTAATCTGGCAAAAATAGGAAGAGCAGCCTGCGGCCTCCAGACCAGGCCCCACTGGCACCCGGCAGGTCTGCGCGGTGAGTGACAGAGCCTGAGAGCAGGCCCTGCCTCAGGCCCACAGTGACATGGAGCTGAGTGCCCTTCGGCACCTTGCCCCTGATTCCTGGCAGTTTTACCTTCTGTGGACTGAGCTGTACCCTCTGCCACCCAGGGGTGGCTGGGAACATGGTGATTTCAGACTGCAGCAACGGCTAACGTTTATCAGGATATTTCACAAGAAAGAATACCCGGGTTTCCTTTTTTTTGTTTGTTTGTTTCTCTTTTCTTTTTTTCCCCGGATTTCTTTCACCTCTAGAAAACACTGGAAGCTCCCTCTGTCTCTCAGGCCCACACTGGGGGAGGCTCCCCACATTGTCCAGCACTGGCCTCGGTTCACCCGCACAGCCACTGTGAGGTCCTGGAGCCCTGTCTCCCTTCCCGTCCCCACTGGGCTGCTGCAGCTGGAGACAGAGGTTGGGGTTACGGGCCCCACCCTGGGAACCCCACAGCAGTCTCTGGACCCCCACAGACGGCATTCCCTATTGGAGTCACTGTGCCCAGGGGGCCAATTCCAGCTGATGGCTCCGTGAGTCTCACAGGCTTCATCTGTCCGTGACTGTTTCCCCCCCTCAAGTGGGAACATCCTGGGGTGGTGATGAGATGGCAGGAATGAACGCAGCTATGGGAGCAGGTGGAGCCGTGTTAGGCCCAAGCGAGGGTGTGAGCCTCGAAGAGGCTGAGAGTAGGAAAGTGACATCGGGGCTGCTCCAGCCACCACGTGGGGCCCTCATACCTCCTGCACCTGAAGCCCTGCCCAGGCCCAAGCTGGGTGGGGCACTTGATGCATTTGCTTGAGAGACAGTCAGAAGGACCAGGCCCCAGCTCCTAGGTGGGCGCATGGAGCTGCTTTGCTTCCTCGAGCCTCAGCTTCCTCAGGGTGAAGCAAGACCAGAACATCCCATCAGCACAGCGAGCACCAGGCACACGGCCAGGTGTAGCAGGGACTCCACGCACAGTGTCCTGGGGCCTCCCCACACAGCCCAGGAATCTCCTGCAGGAGCCGGTTCCCCCACTCTGTTCCCCCACCTTGCCTCTGCCCCACCCCAGCTCACTATGCCCCGGCCCCACCTTACCTGTGTCCCCATCTACCTGTGACAATCACCCATTTCTGGCTCATGCCCACCCTCTCAGCCTCCCAGGTGGGCACCCCACGTCTGCCCAGGCGTCCCCTCATAGTGCTGTGTGGCTGTTAGACCCCCGTCATCAGTCTCTAACTCCCCCCCTCCCACTGGTCCCCAGGGCTCTGATGCACAGTACCCCCACCTCATGACCTTTGTCATGTCCCCCACGTCTTGTACGCAAGACCCCAACACCCTTGGTTGGACCAGAGATGTAGAAGTGCTGGGCCAGGGAGTAGCCCATGCAATTCTGTCACCCTTGCGTCATCACCTTCCTGGGGGGGCCCTGAGGCTGTGCCCACGTGCTGAGAGCCAGTGTTCATTTACACAGACAAGCACGGCATCCACCCGTGAAGGGGACAGCCACAGTCTCCCACGCCCACCACACAGGGCCAGGGCCAGCCTCCCAGCAGTGTTTCTGAGTGTGATTGCTCAGGAACTGTGAGTCCTGTGGGACAGGGCAGGTCCACCCCTTGGTCCCTCCGTAGGTAGCTCAGACAGGGCGGCGAGCTGTGAGGCAGAGCCTCGGAGAGGGCAGAGAAGGAAGGTAGAGCCCCAAGAAGCAAGTCCCAGTCCAGTTCCACAGGGGCCAGGGCAGACCCCAGGCAGCACTGCCCACTCCAGGAGCAACGGCAGACCCGGTGGGAAGTGGTCCTCGCTGGGCAGCACCCACACAGCCTCCTCTGTCTCACGAGCCAAAGCGACCACAGGACCGACTCAGAGGACGTTGCCTTTGGCAGTAGCCCACGTTCCCTGCTCCCGTCACACTGCTGGGCTGGAGCCAGGCTTGGGCTCTTTCCTGAGACGTGCTGGGTGACTCTGGGCAAGCGGGTGGTCTTCTCCGGGCCTCAGTTTCTCCTCATCAAAGCAGAGAGACCCTCCAGGGTCTGAGCCGTCGGACTTCCCACAGCCCCACCCCCACAGTGCTTCACTTCTTCATGTGGTCAGACGTTGCCTCCCAGGAGAACAGAGGCTCCACGTGTCATTGTCACAGAGAGCAAAGCTTTGCTCAGGAAGAAGCTGTGCCAGTCGGGGCCTGGGGCTGCGGGGCACCAGGGCTCTCCTGGGTGGTGTCCCCGTGGGCAGCAGCACGCAGGGCTCCCAGCCAGCTCTGCTGCAGCTCCCTGGAGGGGGCCCTGAAGTACCAGCGCTGCTGACCCTGCTGCACCTTCCACAGGTGTCCCGCTGTCAGCCCCTCCTCGGGGTCTGGAGTGCCCACCGTGCAGCCAGACAGAGGGATGGCGTGCGGCAGCCGGCCATCCTGCTGCAAGAGAGAGGGTCACCACCTGAGCAGGCCCCTAGACTGCCATGCCCAGTGCCAGGCCAACTCTGAGCCGGATGGACCTGTGGACATGCCCGCATTTTCCTCGACAGCAGGACAGGCGGCCCCTGGGAGGACGCTGGCAGGGGGCCTTGCCCACCTCACCAGAACCCCAGGCCCCATGGCTTCCCTCTGATTCCCAAGTCCCAGGGAGCCCCTGTGACATGGGCAGTCAGTAACTGGGACTGAGAGGGACTGAGCAAGAGTTCCTGATGAACGAGGGGGCATGTGGGCTTTGGAGCTGCACCTGCCACGTTCTGTACTCCCAGCTGCGTCCAGCCAGGGCGAATGAGCAGGTGAACAAACAAGTGTGTGTGGGAGGGAGGGGCCAGCCCTCTGTGCACCCTGCCTGCCCCTCATCCCCTGGTTGGCCCTGGGGTCCTGGCATCACGGGGTTCTGTCTCCTCAGGGTGGGGAGGAGGGTTATTCTGGGCAGCTGGGAAAACTGAGGCCTAAGACCACAGAATAGGTCAGCCCCAGGAGGGTGACCCAGACTTGCTGTGAGTGCTGCAGGCCTGAGATTCTGGGCTGTGAGGAGAGGCAATGACCTGGGGCAGGGAACACATACCTCGCTGCTGCCACGCAGGTCCAGCACCCGGGGGTCCGATGCGGGGATGGTGGCCCATACCTCAATCCAGGATGTGCCATTGTCTGACAGCCACAGGGGGCCGCAGATGAGGCTGGGCTGGGGATCCACAGCGGGTGGTTTCTAGGAACACAGAGACAGGTGAGGTCACTGAACTGTAGAGGTCTCTCCCTTGAGGGGCCAGAGATGCTCAGAAGGAGCTGGCCACAGAGATGCGGCTGAGACCTGGAGGGAGGCTGGGTCCGGCCTCACTTGGTTCCAGGGGTCACTCCAGGCAGTCCGAGGGGCTCAGGTGCCATAAAGTCATGAGGAGTTTGTAGAACATGGGGAGTGAGGCCACTGGGTCAAAACCTCAGGAGAAAAGCCTAACAGTAAGTACCAAGTGTGGGTCACCATGCAAAGGACCCTGCCTGTTTCAGTTCTTCATACACCACGTGCCACATATAAGCACACCCACCACACAAGCGTACACACACAATTCCCATGCCACACACACATACAACTCCCTCACCTGCCTCACACACAGGTCCTTGTGATGTGCTCTAGAGCTGCTATGGAGAGGAGTCCCTGAGACATCTACACATGGTTCCAACACCATTTGCTAGATCTGGTCTCCTAAGACCTGGTGGCCCTTTGAGGCCTGAGCTCACCCTCCACAGGTCTCCTAGAATACGTGTCAGTATTGACAATGCAGAACAAGGTGGGCCCAGGTGGGCAGGGCACGGAGCATCCTACTGGGCCTCCATTCTGCCCTGGTCCTAATATCCTTACATCTGTGACCTCTTAGAGCAAAAACCCAGAGAAGGGACCCCTGACAACTACGAGCCAGGATGGTCAGGAGCTTCGACAACACATTGACCCCAGCCTATCTGGCCACCCAACTGAAGCCTTAGGAGGAAAACCAATGTTATAAACAGTTCCCAGGAGACCCAACTTCTTGAAGCTGGCGCTGAGAACATCATAGTGTGTCAAGTGGAGAGAAAGGGCAATACATTTTTCTGGAAAAGCATGTTTTCCCTTTCTCAAATTTCCTAGGACTTCAGAAAGTAGGGACTGTGTTAGAAAAGTGGCCATATTCAGGGGAAGTAGGGTGGGGAGCTGGGACTTCCCACGTGCCTCCAGGACCTGCCTGTCCTAAGGACTAGCAGGGAGGCAGGCCATCGGGTAGACCTCAGTGCTGGACTTGGGGGCAGCTCCATACTAATCAGGGCCACAGGGAGTGGAGCTGACACGGGTTCCCATCTAACCCCTGGGTAAGAATGATTCTCAAGCCTCCGCCCTGAGCCGCCCTGAGAAGCCCAATGTGCACTTACTTTGTATGATATTTTGCTTTCAATTGGCAATCACTCCAACTAGCTCTCCCCGGTTCCAGGACCTGTGAAGTCCACTGAGACCCCTTCCCCATCATTTCCAATCTGAGGAACCAGGGCCACCCACCTCTGTGCTCTGCTTGGAATCAGAAGGAGCCTCAGCACTGGGACTTGCAGGGGCTACCCGCTCTGCCAGGAAACACCCTCTGCAGACCCGGCTCTGTCTGCTGTTCTCAGCCTTGAATTCAGAGCACTTCCCACAGATGACCTGCAAGACACAGAGCACCTGTGACCCCGCAACCCAGGCAGAGGAGAAGGAGAGACTCAACAACGTGGGAGGAGTAACGGCTTGGCCTAGAATGAGGAGGGGGCCAGGAACCCCCTCTAAGGGCAGAGCAAGACTGGTGCCCCCATGTCCTGTCCTCCTTACCTGGATGACCCAGAGTTCAAGGATCTGTATGCAAAAAGAATGGGCTGAGCCACCAAGCACATGAGAAGACCCCAAATCACTGGTCATCAGGAAAACACAAATCAAAACATAAGGAGAAACTACCTCACACCCTTCAGGATGGCTATTATTAAAAAAAAAAAAAAATAGCCAGGCATTGTGATGAACACCTGTTATTCCAGTGACTCGAGAGGCTGAGGCAGAAGGTTCGAAGTTTGAGGCCAGCCTTGGCAAGACTATGTCTCAAAATAAAAAGGTCAGGGGATGTAACAGTGACAGAGCACCCCTGGGTTCAGATCCCGATGCCCCCCCCCCTGACACACACCCACATAACAAGTGTCGGTGAGATGGAGAAATTGGAAACTTTTTACTATCAGGGGGATGTAGAATGGCACAGCTGCTATGGTACAGTGTGGTTCCTGCTCAAAAAATTAAACATAGAATTACCACAGGAACCAGCAAAACCCCTCTGGACATACACCAAAAGAACCAAAAACAGGAACTGGAAGAAACAGGTGCAGAGCTCCTAGCAGCACTGTCCACAATCCCTCAAAGATGAAGGTGACCCAAGTGTCCATGATGCATGAACAAGGACATCCATGCATAAAATGGAATACGGAAGAACATGGAAATAAGCCAACGGGTGCCCCTTTGGGACTCTTCCAGAGCTCTCACTACCCTGGACCCCATCCCCACTGGCAGACTCCTCCATTTCTCTGGGCCTTGTCCCATTGTCTCTTCTGCCTCAGTCTTCCTCCCTGTACTGGGTCGTCTCCCCAGAACACGAGCCTCTCCTCCTGACCCAGCTTCTCTTTTCAACCCTGGGCATTTCCATGCCCTGACTTGACATTGCCTGGGTCACACCAAACTTGGCCTCCCTGTGGTCAAGGATGATGCTGGTCTCAGCCCTGAGAGCCCTTGCAGCATGGAACCACCCCTCCTGAGATGCTCACTCCTCTCTGGGCCATCTCCCCTGCTTTCCTGACCCCCATCTAGACTGGGGCTCCCACACGGCTCCCTCCCTGGGCACAGCCAGCTGAGCCCTCCCAACCTGTCCTGCGCACTGTCAGATGCCAGGCCCCTCCCCACTCCACCTCAGTCAGCTGACCTGGGCTCCTCCCTCCCTTCCAAGGCAGCCCAGGCTCTGGATAAGCACCTCTCACATCCTCTTCCATTCCTTCCTCGCGAGAGACTCCAGCTGTCTCCCATCTGCTTTCCACCAAGATGCCAGCACAGGAACCCACAGTACAAACCTTCCAGAAGCTCCATCTTCCACCTGACCTTGCTGGCTTCCCTGACCCAGGCATAGCTTGGGCCTGAGCCACAGCCTATGGGCCATCCTGTACTCCCCACACCCTTCTCCCCAACTACTCAGCCATTCACCCTTCCATCCATCCCACCACCCATCTATCCATCATCCATCCATCCATGTAGCCACCCACCCACCCACCCATCCAAGGACTCATCCATTTATTCCTTCCTCTTCTAGACCCTGGCCAGCATGGCAAGGTTTTACATAAAGGCGTGACAAGGAACACCTGCAAGAAACAGACTGTTGCCACCCTTTGAAAAAACATCTCCAAGTTATCTGTGGTGAGATCCACTTGCTAACAGATGTAATTTTAATACCTTAACCCAAAAATACTTGAATCATTGGTTTCTTCCTCCCTCCCCTACCCCTGGTACTGAGGATGGAACCCAGGGGTCCTCTATCATTGAGCTACAACCTCAGCCCCTGTTATTTTTTTACTTTGAGACAGGGTCTCAATAAGTTACCCAGGCTGGCCTTGAACTTGTAAACCTCCTGCCTCAGCCTCTGGAGTCACTGGGATTACAGGTGCGCTCCAGGGCACCTGCTCCTCAGGGACAGTTACATGCTCCGATAGTCCACTCTCAGGAGCAAGGGATCTGGAGGTGAGTGAAGAGGGATGGAGATGGTGTGGGTGTTTGTGGGGGTCTGTCAGAGATGTCCCTCTTCACAGGGGCCCTGGGCACTGGGGCGGGGGTCAGCGGGAGAGCGCTCCACCGTGGCCACACCCCTCCCCGCCAGTCCCTCCTCTGCTCCTCGGGCGAGGACACTACCATCCCTTTGTGCTCAAGGTCGCCCAGCTAGGGGCGCTGTGGTTCCAACTCCAACGTCTTTTTCGTTGCAAAGAATGTTTGTCAGTCACTGGAGCTGACGGGAGAAATGGGATCAAGCTTCTACTGCAGAGGGACAATCTCATGCTCAAGGACATCTGCGTCCAAGAGGCGGGATCTGGAGGTGTCCTTATGGGGCTGCCACGTGGTTCTGAGAACTCACCAGCTGCACGCATGCGCCGCATCTGCCGCTGGCTGGCAGGGCTCAGCTCCTGCCCTTGAGGACTTGTGAGCACCTGGCAAGGGACCCCTGCTCGGTGTCGGAGCCCTCCCTCCCTGTGGCCCCCACTCACTGCCCCGCACAGCTTGCAGTGATGCCTCCTCTTGGTGATGGAGTTGAAGGCCTCGCCGCAGCTCTTACAGCTCTGCCTCTCCCTGTCGCGCTTGGCCTTCGACGAGAGTTTTCTGGACTCGAGCTACAAAGACGCACACGGTGCCATCAGCTTCCACGAGTGTCTTGCAGCACGCTGCCCCACTGAGGAGCGGAATGAGCTAAAGAGTCAAGGAGGCCAGATCCCCCTTCCTGCGCTGACCCCCAGGGTCCACCCCCGTGCATCACATCCCATCAAGCAACGGTCCAAGTGGATCAAGAACTTTATGTTCGGAACAACTCGGCCAGTGACTATCTGGTGTGTCTGAGAAAAAATATCAGCGGAGCCCAGGCTGGAGGGAAATGGTGCATACTGGGATGGCAGTCTGCACAGATGGCATGTGGCACCAGGCACCGGGGTGTCCCCATCTCCGACCCTGCAGCTATTGGAGATTCTGAGCCCATCTTTCATCCAGCTCTGAATTGGGCACTCAGGCAGGTCCTCCCTCTGCCACGTGCCTAAAACATCCATATGTGCTTGTGTATCAGTGTGGGAGCGTGTGGGAGCACACAAGAGGAAACCGGGCAAGCCCAGGCCCTGCTCAGGGGCTGGATTCCTTGTTCTGTCTCCTGCAATGCTACCTGAACTTCCCAGAGAGGTTGGTGGCATGGAGGACAGGAGCAGCCTTACCGAGGCTGCAGCTGAGCCTCAGTCTCCCTGTCTGACTATGACCAGTGACAGTCCCCAGGCTCCTGCCCTGGCCCTCATCAGCCAAGAGGCCCTGGATGAGTCACTTCTCCTCTCTGAGCTTCCATTTCCTCATTTGTAAGGTGGAGCGAGTAACTGAGGCCCAGGGCAAGGAACGGACAGTGAGAAGGAAAAGGACAGCATAGAGGAAGGGGGCCATCTCCGGGGTCTGCCATGGCTCTGCAGCCTCTGTCCCCTGCCCACCTTCAGGGTGCCCACATTCCTCTTTCTCAGGTGAGAAATCAAAGGGCCAGGTGGAAGGAGTGGTTGGCAGTCAGGTGGCCAGACAGCTCGGACCTGTGACTCTCAGGGACCTAGGGTAGCGGACCCTTCCATGGCACCCGGTAGGCAGCTGAGAACCCAGGAAGCTGTGGGGCCATCAGGGAATCAGGGGGATGGAGGGAAAGCTGTGACATGATGGGGCATGTGGCCAACAGCTCAGCCCCCAGGATCAGTGGAGGCCCAACCCCGCCAAAGTTCAGAAGAAAATTCCTGGGGCAAGGAGGCCTACTCAGGGCTGGGGACAGTGCCCTGGGTTCTGACAGCCTCCTTCATCAGGCAAGTCTGCCATGGTCAGCCCACAGAGCTAAGCCAAGCCCTAGGACGGGGGCCCTAGCACTTCCTGGCTCCTACATAATAAGGCCATGGCCCATCCCTGATGAGGCTCTGCCCCTGACCACACTAGTTTCTCGACGCAGAGATCTGGTTTGATTTGTAGATTGCAGTGACCAGAGGGGGAGGAAGCCACCTGTGTGGCCAGGGATGGGTCTACTGGCCAGCCACACTCCCCCCTTGGAAGAGGTTACCAGGCAGTTTGACCCAAGGAAAAGGCTCAGATTCTCTGCACAGGTGTCAGGATGTCTGAAGGCTGGACCCAAGTCTTTCCAGGATGTTGGCCCCGATAACTGGTTAAGTAATTCCGCCCAAACCACCCAAAATGTGCCAACGTCGACCCAGAAGTTGGTCTCCACCAAGGGCCAACAGGGCTGTTCCCTAAGCAGTTCTTCTTCATTGGAGTTAGCTGCACATCAGGGAACTGGGGGGAGAGCTCCATAAGACAGACTCAGACCCCAATCAGTGGCCCTGATGGAGTCACATCGGTTATATCAGACAGCGGAATGACACAGCATGAGAAATCCAGGTGGACACAAGCCAAGGGCACGGCACAGGGTCTTTCCTACAGGAGGCGGTCAGCAGAAGCCAGGCCGGGCCCCTCTACTCTTCTTGGGATGGCTCTTTCCTGGAGCACAAGGTGGGCCTCCTCCAGGAAAAGCAAGTCCCGCATTGTGAGGGAGTCCTTGGCACAAGGGTGGCCAGGGTGGGGTCCTTGCTGGTGCCTTGGGTCTTTGTGTCACCACCCACAGTAGGTCTGGCACCCTGGGACCTTTTGCACTCTGACTTTTCTGTGGACACAAGGGGACTTTTGCAGAATGAGGAAGGCTTTGAGTTCTGCGGGGCCCCTTACAAAACTTCCTGGTTGGGGTTTGGCTTCCCTTTGGAAAGAGGGTCTTAGAGGGACAGTACCTCTAAAGACATCTCAGCCCAGGAAATGAAACCACTGTACCATGGGTAGATTCATTTTCCTTTCTACATATGCTAAGAAAAAGCTTTTAAATTTGGAATTCTGGAGCAAAGATCACTCTTCGGTGTCAGAATTAAATTTTTCTTTTGAGAACCTTGTAAATGCCCACTGTGCGTATATATGTCCCACCCTGTTTGCTCAGTGCAGGTCGACAGACGCACCCTGAGCCATCCCAGGTCTCACCGAAAGCTCAGCTCAGCTCAGCTCTGCTGGGGATGCGGTGGGGGTGGAGACACCCATGGGAAACACACAGTGATACCTACTGGGGGCAGGGGACGCCTCAGCTGTAGGCCTATTGTTGGAGGTGGGGCAGGCCCCAGGTTTGTGCAGGTGAAGGGACAAAGATAAGGAGACCAGAACTGCAGTTGTGACCCCAAGAACCTGGCTGTCATGGGGTGAATGCTACAGAACCTGCAGAAGGCTGAGCCTTCTCTGGGCAGGAGAAGGCAAGTGGGGTAGACCAAGCAGTCATTTGGCCACGAGTACCATAGTGACCACAGTCTTACCCAGGGAGATGCCAGGCATGGATTGACGTAAGGAGGTGGGCAGGCATTGAAGCGCCTATTGTATTAGGCACCCAACAGCTTCCCTCTCTCCTTCCAGGGGAAACTGAGGCTGGAGGAGGTAACACTTGCCTGAGCCTCACTCCTTGGCCAATTCTGAGTCCGTGTCTTTCTACAGGGTAAACCATTTTAAAACATGACCTTTTTGGTTCCTTCCAGCTAGAACACTTCTGATCTGGGCACTGGCCCCCAATTAGCCCTTGCCATGGACTGTTCCACCTGCCCCATGCCCCTTGGGCCAGACCTAAGCGTGGCTTTTCCTACAAACAACCCAGTCCTCCTCACCCAGGGCTTCCTTGACCACAACCCCACCCACTTCTGCTTTTTCTCCATCTCTAGGGCATTGAGGGTCCCATCTCCATGGCGTGGGGGCTCAGCCCCAGGGAAAGCAGCACAAATAAGAAACTGGTGGCTTCCCAGGGTGCCCACAATCCTAGCTACTCCAGAGGCCAAGGCAGGAAGATTGCAGGTTAGAGACTAGCCTTGGCAGCTCAGCAAGAACCTGTCTGAAAAAAAAAAAAGTGGGGGGCTATGGATGTTGTTCAGTTGTAAAGTGTCCCTGGATTCAACCCCTAGCACTAAACAAGTGGCTTTCATATGCCTTAGTGACCAGTGATGCCTCCTGAGGCCCATCCCAGGCTGAAGACTGGATCCAGTCCAGGGCATCATCATGAAGATGTGGGCTGCTTGGGAGTGTTCGCACACAGTTGTGTGAGCTGTGGAGTCCCCTGCTGACTGTGAGCATGCACCCTTCTGGCAGCACAGTCTGTGGGTGCAGCCACACACTCACAAGTACCCACTGTAAATCCCTATAAATAAATCCAGGAAAGGGACCAGGAACCACATGGGTCTGGGTACCATCAGCCTCACTCACACCGTTGAGCAATATGAAAAGTTGCCCATGAGCTGATTCACATGGGCAGAGCAGACAAAGGGGCAAAGGCTCGGGGCCTGGCAGAGCAAGGGAGTCCAGGGCATCTCAGGGAGCAGGGCAGGAAGCAGGTACAACCAGACAAGAGCTGAGCCAGGCAGCCAGCTGGGAGCTTAGACATTCGTTTCCCTGCCGGTGCCTGTACCACCCTCTGACTTTCTGACTTTCAGTTTCAACAGAATTGACCCCCAGGATGCCTGCTGTGTGGGCAGGCAGCAGTGCCACTGAGGAAGGGGTCTCTCCTCTTGCCTGCTTGTCTTGAGCGTCCCCCTTCGCCTCCTCGTCCCACCCCTGAAAGGCCCCAGCCTTCCCTGAAGCCTCAGGAACTTCCACAGGGTTGTCTGACGCCCATCCAGACACCCATGAGACCTGGTGAAGCTCAGGTCCCAGGGAAGGGGATGACACCAGCCAGGCCACCCAGGCAGGCCTACCTGGCCAGGGCTTCACACTGCTCCGTGAAGTGGTAAGTGATGTCACCCTACCAAAGAGGTATGTGCCTCTCCTCCCAGCCTTTCCCTGCTCTTCACCACCAGGTGGCCCTGTCCCCACAGGGATTCCTTGACATCTGCTTCAGGGCCAACACATTTCACTGCCCTGAACCTGTTTCCTCCCCCACAGTGGGACTGGCTGTGACACAACTCCAGAGTAGCAACAGGACTTCGATACCAGAGACCTCAAGGGCTGGCCATGAATGGGCAGGCTGAGTCCTCAGCTGGCCTAGGCCTCATCCAGGTAGGCCCACACCTGTCCCTGAGCAGTGAGACGTCTGGGGTGTGTGAAAGAGAGACAGAGACAGACATGAGACACAGGAGGATAGACAGGGAGACAGAGAGGAAGTACAAGGAGTGAGGCAGGTGTGCAGAGAATGTAGGGCTGTACTCTGTGGTGGTGTCTGGAAGACTCCCAGGGAGGGGAGGAGCCCATGTCTAGGCTGGGGCTGGGGATAGCCAACCTGAGCCCGGAGTACAGCAGGACCCAGCAAGGTGCCTAGGAATGGCCTTACCAGCACTCTGGTCGCAGCAGCCACCCAGGGTGCTCCTGGGCTACCTGTGGCATCAGTGTTAGTGAGTGTCGGGCCCCAGTTAATGACATGGCTCCAGGTGCTGGTGCTCACTGGAGCAGGAAGTCACTGGGGGACTTCACTGCGCTTCTTTCATCTCCCACATTAAATGGAGGGAGAGGGGCCTCTCAGGGGAGTCCCTGGCTGGCAGGCATATGGCCTGGCCCTGAGTGTCACCCTTGGGGGCTGCTCTGACTTAAGGGAGATGAGAACACAGGAGGAGAGAGGTGAGAGCACCAGCTTAGGGTGAGAGTCTGAGGCCAGGATGCTTTACTGGGGTCCTCCTAAGGACCTGGTACCTTGCTGCTACATTACCAGGGGGAACCTAAAGAAACCTGCTAGCTTCGCTTGCTCTTAGTTGACTTAAAATCACTAATTCTGGAGGTCACACAACTGGGCGATCATTATCAGTCTCCCAGTAGGTTTTTTTGTAGGTAACAGCTCTGACATGTGGACTATTGTGATTATGGCTGCCCAGGTTATTTTCTAGGGACTGAAAAGCAGCCTATGCTGAAAACTCTGACTCCTCATCCAGGCCTGGCACGTGTTCTGTGGGAGACTGGACAAGATGAGAACACTTGGCATTGGCCTTCATGTTATGCCTCTCCCCTTTGTTCCATTTTAACCTTTGGGTCAGATTTTTATACTCAGCTCTTGATGTGGACATGCTGGTCATTTGAAAAGTGTTTTGTCCCAAACTACAATGTAGGGTAGACTTGCCTGGTCTGTCTGTCTGTCTGTCTCTCCCCCCCTCCCTCCTTCAAGGCTAACGGCACTTGCCAGCCACCATGACTGGAAACACCAAACCATGAAAGGTGTAAAAAGAGGTGGCACCAGAGTTCCTCCAGGATATTTAGACGAAAACAGTCCTTCCCTTAATAGCCTAGCCCTCTGCCCTGTTACTCCTCCTAGTCTGTATCTCCAACTCCTCAAGTTCCTGAAATGGAAAAGCTATTTTGTGAGCAAAGTTCCCACTTCTCCATTCTTTGGCGGCTGAATAAAGCCTTTCTTTCTCCCCAACACTCGTCTCTTTGACATTGGTTTTTCCGTGGATGATCTTCTGGACCTGGGTTCAGTATGATTACATGTTTTGTTAAGGCCTAAATTTTACACGGAACAAGCACAAATGTTCATGTAGAGCTCAGAGAATTCCCTGCACAGTCACACAGCCATGTGACCACCACCAACAGACTCCCTCGTGGCCTCTACCAAGAGCCCCAGCAGTGACCACCTCCAGGATCCAAGTCACCAGAGCCTGGTCTCAGACATAGCTTCCAATTGCACACCCTGGCCCGGAACACACTGGGGGGAGGGGCAGGCTGACCCCTGAGCTTTGCTTGACCCCTGACACCTCCTTCCCCTGTTGACTGCTGGGTGTGGGTCACTTACCCCTATGGCACCCCCACTGCCATCGGTCACCAATGCAGGCTCCATGGAGCTTGTGCTCACCATCTAGAAAGGAATTCAGAGGCTGAATGTAAGGTGGCTCCAAGGCCACATGGCTGCATGTTCTGTGCAGCAGGGGGTCACTTCCTCAAACTCAGCACCTCTGTGCATTGGGGTAGGAGGTGCAAGAGAAAGAATCAGCAAAGTCTAATAAAGTCTGTGATCTGAGTTCGGGGTGGAGCTATTCCCACAGAAGGGGCTGCTAAGCAAGGCTTGGCAAGCTGGTCCATCCTGGATGCACCTCCACAGAGCCTGGACCCAGGGCATCACGTTTCCTCTTCCCAGGGGTCCTTGCTATGCCCCTAGCCCCCACCCAGCACACTACCCAGGAACAGACACTTCCAGGCCTTCCTCACAGCAGGCTGAGATCAACCTCCTTGTTCAACTTTCTCTCCCAGATAGGAGGGATGGCCAGGCTCTGCCTTGGCTTCAGCCCTGTCTTTTCCTCCTGGCTACTCAGTGGAGACCCTGCAGCAGGCCTCCTGCACCGACCCAAATCCACATGGAGTCTACCCCCTGTCCCCCAGGGCAGCTCCCCAGGGAATCAGAAGAGCTGCCCTCAATACTCTCTCCACAGGGCTCTGAGCTGACATTTCCCGGAGCATGAGGGCAGAATTCGGGGAGAATTTACAACTGCAGAAAGATGTCTGCAGCCATTGGACATCCTGGGTTGGTCACAGTGGCATATAGGAAGGGCACGGGGGCTCAGTGATGATGGCGATGAGATGACAGTGATCTAGGTGTGTCCCTGAGCTTCTGTGAAACTCAGGTTCCATGGGCATTAAGACAAGACCCCTCCACGCACAGGGCTGGCATGCAGATGGCAAAACACAATAAGGTACTTCTTCCACACAGGCACGGACCCCCAGACTGTGGAGCCCAGCAGGCTGCAGGGGGCACTCCGTCAAGGGCGGGCAGGTGAACACATGTCTGAGCTCCCTTCCTGGATGCCTGCCCCTTTCTCCTTGGCAGCCAGCCATCCCCACCCTCCTGGCACAGGCTGCTGACTCACCGGGGAATCTGGGCAGAGGCCCGAGTCCTCGTCCAGGCTGCAGGCACTGCTGAACGCCCTGAAGGTCTCGCTCTTCTGCTTGTGCTTCTCAATGGTGGCCTGAATGACCTGGACCCAGGACAGAGTCATAGGGCTATCAGAGCTTGAGGAGGACTTGGACACTGTGGGGGGCACTTGCCTGCCTCTGTCCTCAAGGATGGGGTCTGGGTGTTCATGGAACACTGCCCACACCTGGGACCATTTTATTTTCCCTCAATGAATAGCTCTCCCTTGGAGCCATTGGGACCACAGAGACCTCCTCTGAAGGAGGACTCTTACCTGCAGCCCCTCTGGGCCCATTTGTGGCTACTTATTTATGGGGGAGGAGTTCAAAATGGCAAATGGATTGAAAGTCTTGTGGCATCTGAAGGTGCTTATGAAGACATGCCAGTCACTACCTAACTTCAAGGGGCAGAACACTGGGAGAAGCAATGGGGGGTGGGGGAGATGGTCACAGAGCCACCTTCTCTGTTCCAACAGGAAATGGTCACATTGCTCAATAACTTGGGGATCTGGTTATTTCAAAAATTTAGAAGCTTTACCTGAATCCATTCTTTCTTCTCTTCTTCTGTCCTATAAAAACAAGAATAGTATTTTACTAACTTGGTCTTGGAGACTGACTGTAGACCGCCAGTCTCTCTCCGCCCTGCGCACACACCAGCCACTCATTCTCCTAACTGAGGCTTGAGGCGTGGAAGTTTGGCTCTCAGGGCCCGAAACAATCGTGGCCAGGTAGGACCAGGCTTGCCATTCAGGGCAGCTGCAGCAAGGCCAGTCAACCCCTCCCTGGGCCTTAGCAGATGGTTACAGACTCTCAAGTCAGGGGTGAGGTGTGGGAGGCTGGATCTGCCACACACTCACAACACAAGCCTGGCAATGGGACAACAGCCTCTGAACAGACACACTGCACTTTAACTAGCAACGTTGTCAGAAATGTATCAGATAGATACAATGACACATACACACAAAAACCTAAGCATGAGGACACTGTCACCAATTGCCAGGGTGAGACCCAGGGAGGTCCAGGGACCTATCCATGGGAACCTGTTAATGATAATGAGGGAGAATAATGTTGCTTTAGAAAATGGTGTGAGGATAGGGGACGATCATGAAAATTTAGTGAAAAATGGAAGATGCGGTCCAGGCTATCTGGGAATAGCATCTGTGGTTATCCCATGTGGAGAGGTGATTTTGAAAGAGTACATGGGGCTGTGTGACGGAGCACTCGCCTAGCATGTGCAAGGCCCTGGGTTCAATTCCCAGTACTGAAAAAAATAATCCTGATATAAAAATTTTGAAAAGTAGGTGAGTGTAGAAACTTCCAGAAGCATCCTTAAGCAAGGGTTAAGAATGTCTGCTGGACCTGGGGAACAGGAACTGGGCAGAGGCCTAATTTTTATTGATCTCCCCTTGGTGTAGTAAAACGTTGAATTGTGAATAAAAGAAAAAAAAATAAAAATATATTGAAAGGTCATTGCATTTAGGAAAATACACCGTTTGCGACAATGAGGTCAAAGAAGTTCAGAGCGCAGCAGACACTAGGGAGGCCAGAGCCATACCGGGCCTGAAGCTCCAGGGACCTTTTCCTTCCTGTGATGATGAATGTATGTGCTGCGTTTGGCTTGACGATATCCTGCACCTGCAGGAACAAGAGAAAAGAACAAAGAACAAAACATAAACAAACTCAAGCCCGTCATTCCAGCTCTTCCTCAGCACCAGCCACATGCAAGTTTTTTTTGTTTTTTTTTTTCACATGGAAAATGATCTTTGAAATTTTTCCCTAGGGAGATGTCAGAGGTGACAGGTCATGGTGGCTGCTGACAGCTGCTGCAGGAGCTGACCCATGGGGGATACTGGATTGTCTGCCCTGCCCAAAGAGGGCTGGGGCCCTGTGCTTGGAACATGGCTGATCACATGCCTGACCCAACCTATCTGCCCATCAGCCTCCTCTAGAGGTGGCCCCCAGCCAGTCCCAGCCCAGCCTTTCCCACCAGCACTTCCAGGCCCCACCTCCCTGCAGCAGGTACACTCCTTAGGAGGGTTGAGGATCTTATGAGAAGAGCTAGGCAGGCCTGAACCCCCTTACAGATATCTGAGTCCATGTGGGCAGGTGCATCCTCAGTGTAAAAACAAAAATGGAAGAGCATGAGCCCAGAGAGAGCGGATGAAATAGTGATGTTTCCTTCTAGAGTCTCAGATTCCATCCTCAGCACTAGACCACAGAGCACAGTGACACAACAGAACTGGTGGTCCCTGTGGTCCTCAATCCCGTCAGAATCCACCTCCTCCCTCCACCTGCCAGCTGGAGGCTTTAAGGAATACAGACTCTGGATCCTGCTCAGAACCTCTGGACTCTCCCAGCCACAGGCTGAGTACTGCATTAACACATCAAATTCATTATCAGAACTGATTTCTTATAGAGAAACACTGGGAAAATGGTTGCTTCTAACTAGGGAAAAAGGTATTTTCCCCCTCTCTGGTTAGCCACTTGTAATAATTGGGTTTCTTAACCTAGATTCAGAGAATTTCAAGGAAAGAAGGGGTTTTATTTTTTGGTGTCATTTAAGAAAAAACTTTACTTTTCTTCCCTCACCCAGGAACTTTACTTTGGAAATGATTAAACACTTTCATGTAGCCAATATTTTTGGAGCACTGGCTAATTCAAAGCCTTCCCCACAGGGGCCAGAATCCATTCCACCTGCCACCATGAGACATGGAACAGGCTTACAGAGCCAGGGTATAGTAAGGACACACAGGCACCTGTGAGCCCTCTGCTGGCTCCAAGAGGGTTCAGGAAAGGAGAGAGCTCAGGGCCCAGGGTCCAGGCCAGGGAAGCAGACCCACGATCCACCTCAGATTTGTTCCTATAACCTGAGCATCACCTTTTGGCCTCTAAATGAGGCCCTGAGGTCTGGCCTTAGGTGACAACCCCGGCGGCTATTGAGGCTGTGCACTTGAGATTCCAATCACCTCCTGTGTCAGCCCATCATTCAACATGGGGCCAGCAGCGACCAGGCAGATGGGCCAAACCAGAGAGTGAGGAACCCTGCCCACCCAGCCCAAGATACCAGGGCCAAGATGATGTCCCAGCCACCCCTTGGTTACATATAGAGCTGGTGGCCAGAGCCTGCGTCCCCACCCCTATTTGTGCCCCACCCCCAGTGTGGGGGAGGGCAGGCTTGAGAGACAAGGGCTCACCCACCTGGAGACCAGAGATGTCCATTTTTTCCCTGACACTGAACTTCTGGCCCATGAGTCGCAGTTTGGGCACACAGTAGAGGACCATGCTGTTGAACTGAAAGAGGGACAACATGGTGAGTGGCCACAGGACACTTTCTCCTTCTAAGTTTTTCCTTTTTCTTTCTTTTTTTTAATATTTATTTTTTTAGTTGTAGTTGGACACAATACCTTTATTTTGTTTATTTGTTTTTAATGTGGTACTGAGGATCGAACCCAGGGCCTCTCACATGCTAGGCGAGCGCTCTACCGCTGAGCCACAACTCCAGCCCTTTTCTTTAAGGTCAAAAAGTAAAGCATATTTTTTAAAAGATGCAGAGGGGGGCTGGGGTGTAGCTCAGTGGCAGAGGACTTGCCTAATGTGTGAAGCCCTGGGTTTGATTCTCAGTACCACAAAGGAGATTAAATAAATAAAAAGTTAATAAATTGAGACAGGCAAGGTGGTAATCCCAGTTATTCAAGAGGCTGAGGTGAGAGAAGTGTGATTTTGAGGCCAGCCTGGGCAACTTAGTAAAACCCTATTAAAAAAAAAAAAAAAAGATGTGTGCAATCATTTTAGCTATGGTTACATCTATCTTTGAGCAAGGAGATGATTGTGGACAATAGATTTATTATTGTCCCATTCCTAGTTTTCATTTGTCCACCAGGCATATGAGCTAATTGTGTAATAAGAAAGCAAAACTTTTGAATAAGCCACTGATACACAAACATGAATGAAACCCAGCAATGCGCTTGTTGAATGAATGAAACCAGATTTGTCTCAGAGCACTTATGTGCTGTTCTGGAAAAGTGAAGCTATAGAAACCAAGAACAGGTTGATGACAGCCAGGGGCTGCAGGAACACTAAACTCCACAGGGGCAGGACAAGGGAATTGGGGGACAGTGCTCCTATTCTTCGGTAACTTGATTATGGTTACATCAACTGAATTTGTGCAAAGTCAGAACTGCACAGCAAAGTTGAGTTTTGCTGAATGTGAATTTCTAAAACTTACTTAGAGAAAGGAACTTGCAAAGATCTAACTGCTTATTCAAGAAGAATAGAAGCTAGAGGAAATTACCAGGGGCCTGGAGTGGATCTCTCGCTGTAATTCCTTCCTGTCTTTCCCCTTCCCTCTAAATCAGAGTTTGGTTCTGGGATAGTTGGAATCACAACATGAGGCTCCAGTTTGCATTCTCCTGGTTGCTGGAGACGGCCCAATCCCCACAGAGGACAGGGATGGATACAAGAGATAAAAATAGGAGATCTTTGCAGCAGACAGGGAAGAGCCACTGGCAAAAGATGATGTCCTCAGTCCTGACAGGAGAGGACACAGGAGAGCCATGTCCTTGAGCCCTGTCAGTTCTTTTCAGGACTTGAAGGGGCAGGTGAAGGGCTCTATGGCTGGGGTGGCAGCTGGACTCACCAAGAAGAGGTGGCGGTCCTGGGCCGTGCCATTCTTGGCCGACAGCTTCTGAATGTGGCCCTCCTTGATCAGCTCGTTGGCCGGGTTGACGATGTCTTCCTCTCCACCCAGTTGCTCGTACACCTCCAGGAGTTTGTGCATTTTCTCCTGCAAGAGACACAGAATTCAGGCAGGCGTAAGCCTACAGGGGCTACTGGGGACCCAGAGGAACAGAGTCTTCACTGCAACTTCAACCCAGAACCCAATAGGGTAATGGGCCTGCTGACAATGGCATGGGAGGGAGACATGGGGACATTTGAGTTGGGTATTAAAGGACGAATAGATGTTCATCACGCAAGCAATAATAATAATAATAATAAATAACAGCTACCTCCTTTGCTATGTGTTTAACTCATTTAATTCTGACATTAACTGTGTGAAGTGGGCACCATGATTATCTTCAGTTTACAGACAATTACATGAAGAGGTCAGTTTAGTGGCCGCAATCCACATATCACCTTTCCTAAGCACTGGTTGGGTGGTACATGGCCAGGCAGAACCCTGAGGTGTGATGGGACAGGGTCAGTAGCTCATGGTCTCAGCTCTGAGCTGGAGGTCAGTGCAGCAGAAGGTAGGGCTGAGCCTGACGGCACTTGACAGTAGCAACACGGTCTGGGTCTGGGGCTGCCATGCCTCAGCCGCTCCTGTTGTTGGACTTGAATGATCTTGGCCTGCACACCTAGGCTCAGGTGGGTTTGGCTCACCCTTCTGTCTCTGGCATGGATGCAGGTAAATGCAAGTGGACCAAACAACATAGGAAGGATGTGGGGGACTCTAAAGGAACAGCAGGGCAGGGCTGAGGACTTTGCAGGAAATAGGGATGCGCAGGTACCTGGTATATATACCGAGAAGTTGGGTGTGTACCCTTAGTAGAGGGCAGGGCTTATACCTGGCATGTACCAGGAGGGATGAGCTTACACCTGGCATGTATTGGAGGCAAATCTTATACATAGCAAATTCAAGGGAAGTTGGGCATGGCATGCCTGGGGCCTGTACTAGAGCTGGCTGGGCATACCTACCTGGCTTGTTCTAAGTGGGGGCTAAGCACCTACCTGGTATGTACTACAGAGGCAAGACATACACCTGGCATGTATTTTGGAAACTGGGTGTGCACCTGATGTGTATTAGGGAGGCTGGGGTATACAGTTGGCATGTAATAGAGTGGGCTGGATGTGCATATAGTGTGTACTAGGGAAACTAGGTGTGCACTTGGTGTGTCTTAGGGAAGCTTTGTATGTACCTGGTAGGTGCTGGGGGTTGGGCACACACTTGGCACATATTTGGGGGGCTGGGTATATATCTGGTACCACTGGAGAGCTGGGCATGTACAGAGACAGCCTGTGAAAGAGACTAAAATACACTATCAGGAAATGAACGAGTAATTTAATGATGACAATGATGACAGCTGACACTTATTTGGCCAAGTCGTGTTTTAAACACAGAATGAGCAGTGACTCTCCCAATCCTCCTGTGGCCAGTGAGAAAAGTGCCATCAGTGTCCCCATTTCACAGATGGGGAAGGTAAGGGGCAAGCACTAAATAACTGACTGAAGATCACAGATCTAGTAAGGAACAGGCCTGTCCAGCACGAGACAGGGCCCCTGACCACCTAGGGTCAAAGGTGCTCCCTGAAGAGGCCAACCTGGAGCAGGGATGAGGTGCCCTGTGGGGAGGCACCTGGGGACAGGGTAAATGTGCTCTCTAAAACAGCCCCCCGGGCCCTGGCTCCTGCACTGCTCTGCCATTTACCGCCCCCCCCCCCCAGCCAGACCCTCACTCACCATCTTCCGAATGGCAGCATTGGAGTGGTTGGCGGCTGTGGAGATGAGCTCCAGGGACCCTGCAGGAGGAGGAACCAAGTCACCCTGGGCACAGAGTGGCTCTGCACACTTTCAGGACAGGCTGACTCTGGGGCCGTGGGCGGCTGCTCCGTGGGGAGGTTCCCACAGCCCTTCTGAGGTGCCCAGGCTGCTCCAGACACCCAGCCCAGGCACAGGGTGGGGCCATGGCCCTGCAAATACACCTCGTTTGCTGGCAGCCTGCTGGGGCCACATCAAGTGGGACCCCACTCTCCTGCATGGACTCCTGTCCTGTCTGCCACCAGCCACAACGGTCACTGCTAGGGGACCAGGAGCAGCCCTCACCAGTCCCACCAGGTCCTGTGGGGGCCTACACTCTGGATGGCGCCAGTGTTTGGCAGCACATAATAAATAAGTCCCCCTCATAAGTCTGGTGGAGGAGATTTACTAAGTCACTTCCTCGAGGGATTCTCTCTGTGTGTCTCTGTGATTCTGTCTCTCTCCCCATCTCCCCTTCTCTGTGTGTCTCTCTCCCCATCCTGTTTCTATCTCTGTCTCTCCCTCCCTCCCCCTCTGCCTCTGACTCTCTGCCTCTCTCCCTCTCCCCCACCCCAGGGGTTTCTGCAGCTGTCCCTGTCCCATCCCAGCCCCCCTCACTTCACGGCCGCCTCCACTCACTCTCCGCATCCTTCCAGTCCGGGGCATCCCTGGGGAGCCTCTTCAGGTAGTCCTTGAGCAGCAGCTCGTAGCGGGGGACCCTCTGCACGGGCTCCAGCATGTGGTGCTGCAGCGTCAGGTTCCCACACACATCCTGCTTCTGTGGGGACACAGGGCAGTGCGGGGCACCCTGAGGACATGCACGTCCACACTGGCCCTGCTCCTGCTGCTGGCCACCACAGACCCAGGAGGCTGCCTGGAGCGGTCTGCCCTTGAAGGCACGACTGGCACAGACCACATTCTTTTTTTTAGTTGTAGATGGACACAATATCTTTATTTTTTTTATTTTTTAATGTAGTGCTAAGGATCGAACCCAGTGCCTCACACATGCTCAACCACTGAGCTACAACCCCAGCCCCACCGACCACGCTTTATATTGGGGAAGCTAAGGCTCAGAGAGGACCAGAACCCTGACTGGGATGGCTGCAGGCCCAGAGCTCACACCCTTAATGGAAAAATGGACATCAGGACAAGACTGCCCCCTGCTGGCTAGAGTGATTTTTCCACACCATGCTTATGCGTGGGTCTGAGCTGACCTCCTCTCCCCATTGCTGGAAGATGGAGAAAGCTGTTCCTTACTCTCCCTACAGGGAATCAGGCCAGCATCTCTCCTCACACCTAGAGCTGCTCAGAGTGCTACAGACTTTTTCATTACAAACACAAGAGTGGCCAGGCACAGTGGCGCACACCTGTGATCCCAGAGACTCGGGAGGCTGAGGCAGGAGGACTGCAGCCTCAGCAACTAGTAAGGCTGTAAGCAAGTGAGTGAGACCCAGCCTCAAAAAATAAAAGGAGTGGGGATGTGGCTCAGTGGTTAAGTACCCTTGGGTTCAATCCCTGGTACCCTAAAACAACAACAATAACAACAACAAAAAACCCCACTGGAGTGAGCAAACCACCTGGTGGGTAGGTGGAGTGCTAAGTCCCTGGTGGCCCGGCCCCTGCCCAGCAGGGCTCATGCTCCCTGCATACCTCCCTGGCCCTGCATATGAACCACACTCCCCCTCCTCCAGCCCCCCAGCACCTCCTCACTACCGCCACCTGGGAGATCTGGACACCTATGCAGCACAGAAGCCCCAGACATGAAGGGCTCAATGCTGTCCCCATCATCTCTGCCCCACTTGGGGATTCCTGCCCAAGCCATCTCATTTGCTCCTCTTCCAACCGTGCTCACAGGGCTGTGCACCTTGGCTAAGAGGACCTGCTGCCTCTGTCACACTGTCCACCTGCTTCCCCATCCCCTTGCCAGCAACTCAAGACCCTCACCTGCCTCAGGGCCCAGAATGACACAATTTTCAGCTCAGATAAGCTAAAAAATGCCTTGGATACAACAGGGCTAGGAACACCCTGGTTTAACAATCTTCAAGGATGCTGAATAAAGTACTTGCATAACATCAAAGTGTCTTCCTAGGAGAAACTTAATAATAGGGAGGGAAAAAAATCTAACTTCATGATGGAGAGACATGAACCTTAATCAAATGAGCATCCCTAGAAGTGGGACAAATGGGAATGGTGTGTGGCCAGGAAGGACACAGTGAGACAGCCTTGCTCCAGTGAAATTCAAAAAGGAACAGCATGAGTCAAATCCTGGACAAACAGCTCACAAACCCAAGCTCAGAGACATTCTGCAAATACCTGGCCTGGTCTCCTCAAGAAGATGAGGACAGAGGCCTGTTTTTGAAGAAAGCAGACAAATCTGATAGTGAACACTCTGTAGAAGGAAGGAAGGAAGGAAGAAAGGAAGGAAGGAAGGAAGGAAGGAAGGAAGGAATGGAGGGAGGGTGGGTGGGTAAAAGAACCTCACTGGGTCAACTGTGACATCTGAGTGTGGCTTACAGAGCAGTGTGACACCAGTGCAAAATTCCTGGTTTAATCACTGTGCTGGGGTCATGCAAGAGAACATTTTCTCATTCACATTTAAGGGAAAAGGCTAACAGTGTCTATAACTCTGTCTTCAAAGACTCAACAAAAGAGAGAATGATGGACAGGACAAAATGCTACCAGTTTGTAACAGCTTGTCATTTTTGCAACTTTTTTGTAAATATTTAAGATTATTTAAAAACAAATGTTTTATTTTAAATATGCCTTGGATTGCACAGAGGGAAATCTCCAGAGGCCATAGGAAACTTGACTGTGATGCTATCCTGTTTTGAGCACTCCAGGGCTTCTCAGCCTTGGCCTCTGGGCATTTGGGTGGGAGACTTTGTGGGCTGTCCTGTGCACGTCAGAGCATCCCCGGCTTCCACCCACCAGATGCCAGGAACAACAATGTCTACATGGTTTAGGTCCCTGAGGCGGGGGTGGGGGGGTCGGGGCAATGTCATCTGTAGAGAATGGCTGGACCCTGCTGATTCCAAGGGGTGGAGCCTTCCCACAGCCTGCCTGGTTCAGCACCAGAGATCTGCCCAGGTGTGGGAACATGTGACTGTGGGCCATGACAGCTAGCAAGTGTCCCCAGGCAGATGTTGCTTGGGACGATGTCTGCCTAAAGTAGATGGGGGACAGCAGCCTATGCCAGGCTGAGTGTCTGTCTTCATCTCAGGAAGGAGCTGCTTATTGAACTCTGTAGCGCACAAATGTCAAGGTACATGGCTGCATGAGTAGTGTCACATCTCCCAGGAAGAAAGCACGCTTCCAGGGCTGAGATTGTGGCTCAGCGGTAGAGCGCTTGCCTAGCACGAGTGGGGCCCTGGGTTCAATCCTTAGCACCACATAAAAATAAATAAATAAAGGTATTGTGTCCAACTACAAAACTTTAAAAAAAAAGAAAGCACGCTCCCAGAGTATCCCTCCCCTCCTCCTGCATTCTGAGACCCAGAGGGGAGACACAGCTGACAGACAACCTGGGGAACAAATCAAATGAACCCCGATATTTTTTTCTGTTCTTCCTCAAAATAACAAAGTCAGATGTCGACGGGCCAATGCAAATTTAGATGGAGGTCAGCTTTCTCAATTATGGTGTTAAGATGATGATGATGACAATGTAGAAAGAAGAGAAGGAGGCGGAGGAGGGGAAAGAGAAAAAAAGAAAATGGCAAACTTAAGCATGAGGACAAGGAAGGACATGCAGGCCATGTGCAGCTTGGGCCAGGGAGGAGCGGAGGAGACCCCAGGGTTCCTTCACCCCTTGAATAATTGATGATACATTGACTTTAAGGGGAACATGCTTCCTGGGAACAGAAGCATGTTGCAACTTGTGTCCTGGAAAGTGGACTTTTGTCCTGATCTCCTCCACCAGCTGAATAGTCTACCCTCTGAGAAACCCCGCTCAGGATGGGCCCTGTCTGCCCCGGAGGCCTGGCTGCATCAGTGGACAACGGGAGCTGGGCAGTGATGAGAGTGTCCTGGGGGAGCTGCTGTGTCAGCAAAAATGCAGCTGGTTGAGGCTGGACATGGCAATTTTGTGGGGATGGCCAGGGTGAAAGCCAGGGAGGAGCCAGCCAAGAAGTACAAGGAGAAGGGTCAAAGGGGAGGGGCTCAGGGAGAGGACATGGTGGTCTTTTCTGGGGCCTGACTCTGCTACTGAGTCAGGGGCACTAGGAGACCATGGTGACCTCATGACAGATGGCCTAGGGAAAAGGTATTAGGGGCCACTCCAAATACCCAGTGGTGAGCATTCAGGGCCCAGGAACCCTTCAAGCTACAGTGAGGCGTGTGGTGTGCGTGTATGTGTGTGTGCATGCACACTCAGGGTCACTAGTGGTGTTGAGATGAGCAGCTGGCTATGAACCTGGGTTCTTCCCACACACCACAGTCCATCTGGACACTATATTGGTCTATCTTTTTAAAAAGCTACCTTTTGAACCTGTGGTGAATATAGGTACTTAAAAACCAAAAATTCTGTATGGCCATCCTCACTGTAAAGCTAATAAATCAAAGATCCATGGGCAAAAGTAAATCATGTCAAGGTGACAGATAAAAGTTGATGTTCTTAATATACAAAAACCTTGTGAATCAGTAAGAAAAAGACCAACACTGCAGGAGACAAGGGTGCTATAAACAGGCTACTGCTGACAAAGAAAAAGATAATAGGACACCTGCTAAATGCCTGCCCTACACATCGAGGGACACTTGGAGTCAGAGACAGATCTCTGAATCCAGGTTTTATCAAATAATAATCTGTGCTGCTAAGCCATGATTTATCCATCTGTGAAATGGGAATGATGATTTGTCCCTGGGAGTCAGAGCGAAGCGTCTGTAGAGCACCAGGACCCATCCCATAATTTTACTGATTTTCTCTCTGCTCCAAATGCACCCAGAAGCACGAGCCTTGAGGACATCTGTGCCCACACCCTGCGGCCACCTACCTGGATGCTGTGGATAACGTCCTTAAACGGCAGCGAGCGCTGGGTCCATGTGCTCACCAGCCCCACCGCCCTGTCAAAGTTCTTGACATACTCGCCATACATCTTCAGGAACGGGGCTAGCTTCTGCAGGATGTCCCCAAGCCGAGGGTTTGTGTCCCTTGGTAGAGGAGTAGGGTCATCAGAGAAGCAGCCTGGGTGGGAGGGGCCTCCCGAGGTTAATGGACATGAACTTCACCCATGAACTGCACAGAGGGATACGGGGCAGGCAAGGGCAACAACCTGAGTCCCTGTGTTGTGTGACGGTGGGCACATTGGTCACCTGCTCTGAGCCGGCTTCCTCCCCTCCACTATTTGGAGGGTAGAATATAACATGTTACTGGATATTTGAGGGGAAGATGTCTATAAAGCACCTTGACAGCTCAGGCTGAGAATCAGAGCCCAAACACAGGAGCACCCTTGGGTGACAGGTCACAGTTTATAAGAGGATCAACTTTACACCTTTTAAGTGAGCAAAGGTTAGAAACGATGGTTCTGTCCAATGCTGACAAAGTCACCAGGGAGCAGCACTTCACGATCATACGAACTTGCTTCTCTTCTGGATGGGGCTTTGCGATAAGTCATAAGAAGTAAAAAAGTATATTAATAGCCTTTGATTTTGGAGCTCTCTGTTGGGGATTTATTCTAAGTAAATACTTACAAAGAAAGAAAGAAGCCTTAGGCACAAAGGCCTAGCTGTGGTGCTCCTTTGAAAGGATGCATGTGGGTTTGATTGAAAGGCCTAGCAATTCAGGGAGGGGAGGGTGGGGAAGTGGTGGGTCCCTTGCACCAGAAAGGGAGCTGAGGAGGCTCCTGTTAGGCCCTTATGGTTGAATCTCTGTGGCATGAAAGGAGAATCTGTCTCTAACACACAAGGACTTTGTCATCAAGGCCCCACCCAATCCTGACCTTGGGGACACAGTGTAACCTGCTCTGCAGCTGGACTCTGTCCTGAATGTTCACAAAGTAACTCAGCGCCCCCCTGGGCTACAGGTGAAAGAATCCCCAGCCAAGTCCCCTGGTCCTGGGCTCTGGGGACACCAAGAGGAAGCCAGGCTTGTGAAGGAGGTGGACAGCAGGGGCCCTAAGCCAAGCTTTAGGTTTCCCAGAATTTGGGGTGGGGGTGCACATAACAAGGAGAAATGATGGGTTGGGGGGCCTCGTCTGTGATGTGTCACTAATCGTGTCTTGTAACCAAGCTGTCCCTTGGCTAAGAACGGGCAAAAGCAATAGAGGGGCAGGATCAGCAGAGGAGGAAGATCTATAATCTACTGTTGATGGGGAGGAAATCTCATTCCTTTTTAAAGCCAAGGTGCAGTGCATGCTAGAAAGGAAAATAAAACCAACTAGCACTATTTGTTCACCATCTTGTGTTTCTGGATATCGAGTCTCATTTACATTCCATGGATCCCTGTGACTATTAAAATCCTCTCATTTTTGTATCATCAGTTTCCTCAAAATTTAAGGCTTGGAGACCCTATGTGGCCCATCAAGGTCACCAGCAAGGAAGAGTGGGGCTGGGATTCGGACCTAGGACCAGGCCAAGAAGGGAGGCACCAAGGCCACCGCGAGACAGGCCCCCCCAGGTGCTGCCTGGTTCTTGCACAAGGAGCCAGGGGGCCATGGCTGGTACTCACCACTCCTCCGTGATCCGCCGCTGCAGCTCGGGCAGCAGGAACTGACCATGGAAGCGGTAGATGGAGGAGATGTTAGAGAAGATGCCAGTAGTGACTTCCGAAGGGATCCCCGCTTTCGTCAGCGCGGTGCAGAAAACCTGGGCATGAAGAAGCCCATGTCAACCAGGGAGCACGGACCATGGTGGGCAGTTACCGTGAGAGGCATCTGTCACAGCGGGGGGGCCCTGGGCAGTGTCCCCACCCTGTTTTTCTTAATGAATGCCAGAGTTGTTGTCTTCTTTTTGTCATTAAACTGGTTCAATAAATACTCATGGTCTTGACACAAGCTTATTTATAGCTGAGAGTTGTGAGCGAGGCAGGGGGCAGTCCCTGGGGAAGGAGCAAGACATCTTCCTGTTCCCCTTCTCACAAGAAATGAAAAGTCAAGATTTCCTTCTCTGGCTTCTGAGATTCAAGCAGAAGCAATGCACCCTGTCAAATCTTGGTTTCCACGGGCACTTTATTTCCTGTGCTCAGGGGCCCCATGTTACCTCGTGAACTCTGATGTGTGGCACTCCCACCCCAACTTATTTATGCAGAAAAATGCCCAGCAGCCATTTACAAACTCAGATCATGCAACCACCAAGAAGAGTTCCAAAGGTGGTTGGACAGAACCTTTACCCCACAGCCACAGGCATGGAAAGAAAAATGTTGGTTTCTAGACCGGACTTAAATTTTTCAAAGTTTTAGCATTTTTTACTCCAAATGCAATGTTCAATCAATGTAAGGATGAAGAGTTTGTCTCTCAAACTGCCCATAGGAATTCTGCAAGTGGACAAAGCCGGGCCCCTCAATTGTGGGCTACCTGGTCCAGCAGGTGCAGCCGCCTAACGTAGGTCTCTTCAGTGTGCAGGAGCTCCTGGGCGATGTTGAACAGCTTCTGCGGGTCAGAACACTGCAAGGGGAAGGAAAGCAGCTGGGTTACCTGCAGTGTGCCAGGATGACCAGGGGACAAGAGGACCAAAGGAGGCCACTAGGACTGGGATGCAGCGTCAGTTCTCATAGATGCTATTTCCAGGGAGGGCTTCAGGAAAAGCACAATCCTCCCCAAACCAGTCCCCCCCAAACAACTGTACTCCAGAGATGACTCTCCATTCCTGGAGCTTTGACTACAAAAAAGCTGTAGTGACCACAGAAAAATCTATATTGCCGTGTTGGGGATGTAGCTCCATGGTATAGTGTCTACCCAGCATGTGTGAGGCCCTAGGTTCAATCCCCAGCACTGTAAAGTTAAAAAAAAAAAAATTAAAAAGTAATTGCAGAGCAATATCAGATGGCAGTCTGAGAAGTTGCAGACCCTCCTTCCTCCACAGAAACACAGACTTGACAATAATATAAAAGACTACCAAACCTCTAGGAGAAATACAAAGGCCAGTTGAAAAGCCACAGCACTCACAATTGTAAAATCAAGAAGGGATTCCAGGGGAAAGTGTAGGAAAATTGGTGGCATTTGGCATGCCTGTCTTCGTCTATTTGTACTGCAATAGCAAAATATCTGAGAATGGTAACTTATAAAAAACAGAAATCTATTTCTCACAGTTATGCAGGCTAGAAGTCCAAGATCAAGATCAATAATGAGGTTTGGTGTCAGATGAGGTCACAGTCTCTGTTTCCAAAATGATGACTTTGAAGGCTTGCCCCCACGTGACAGAGGGATGAAAGGTCAAAAGGGGGGTGAATGCTGTGTCCTCAAATATCAGAAGAGCAGAAGAGAATGGACCCACAAACTTCCTTTTATTTCATTACTTCTTAATTTTTACCGTGCTGAAAATTGGACCCAGGGCCTCAGATGTGCTCGGCAAGCGCTCTGCACTGACCTACAGCCCCTGCCTTCCTCCCTCCCTTTTTTAAGAGCCTTGATTCTATCCACAAAAGCTCTGTCCTCGTGATTTATTCACTTCCTGAAGGCCCCACTTCTTGGTTCTATCACTGTAGTGATGAAGTTTTAACATGTAGATTTGGGGGGCACATTCAGTCCACAGCAGTGCCCTTTAGTGCTCCTCTCCCTATGTGGCACAGCAGGGAACAACTGGGAGGCAACCTACCATACCAGAGGACCTTCTGCAGGTCAAGAATCAAAGAATTAAACATGTGCCCATGGTTCTGGTGTGTCTGACGGCCGCCCCAGGGACTGGACTCTGTCTTATCTGAGTGCAGAACTAATGAGTTCAGCACAAGACTTTGAAAGTCACTGAAAACTAAGCCTAACAGTTTGTGAGAGCCTCAGTTCTGCAGGCAGATGCTAAGGCAACAAGAGGTTGGAGAAGGTCTGAGAGGTTCTAGGACCTCTAACTGGACTGATTAGTGAAGGACTTCTCCTTCATAAAGATTGGGAGAGGTAATTGTTTTTTTAAATGCCCAGATTTCAGCACACACACACACACACACACACCTCCAAATTACAAGCATACAAAGAAACTGGGAAATATGGCCTAATCAGAGGAATAAAATAAAAACCTCAAACCAACCCTTAAAAACCACAAATTTATGAGCTTCTTGAGAAAAACAAATCGATATATATTTTTATAAAAGTTCTTAATGAACTAAAAGGACACAGAAGTAACTAAATAAAACCAGGAAGTGATGCATGAGCAAAATGAAAATATAACAAAGGGATTAAAAACTGTAGAAGAAAAAAGAAAGGACTTAATGTCCATCAGATGGACCAACATATCCATGTGGGAACTACAAAGGATAAGAAAGAGAAAAGAGCAGAGAATATTTTGAAGAAATAATGGCTGAAAGTCCCCAAATTTGGAAAAAAAAAATTCAAGAAGCTCAAAGAACTTCAACTAAAATAAATCAAGAGAGAACCTCATGGAACCATGTTGTAAGGGGCTGGGGTTGTAGCTCAGTGGTAGAGTGCTTGCCTGGCACGTGTGAGACACTGGGTTCAATCCTCAGCACCACATACAAATAAATATCAAATGAAGGTATTGTGTCCATCTACAACAGCCCCCCCTCAAAAAATTTAAAAAGAAACATGTTATAATCAAAACATTCAAAATCAAAGACAGCAAGGAAAAAAGCAATTATTTCATATATAGGGGCTTTCATGAGATTATCAGAGGATTCCCCAGGAAAATTCGCAGGCCAGAAGGGAGTGGGATGATAAATTCAAAACATTGACAGAGGGCTGGGGCTGTAGCTCAGTAGTAAAGTGCTTGCCTCAAATGTGTGAGGCACTGGGTTTATACTCAGCACCACATAAAAATAAATAAAGATATTCTATGTTCAACTACAACTAAATAAATATTAAAAAAAAAAAACATTGAAAGAGCCAAACATATTGGTGCACACCTGCAATCCCAGCGACTTGGGAGGTGGAGGCAGAAGGATCAAAAGTCCAAAGCCAGCCTCAGCAATTTAGCAAGGCCTAAGCAACTTGGTGAGATCCTGTCTCAAAATAAAAAAAAATAAAAAGAGCTGGGGGGTGTTGCTCAGTGGTTAAGCACCCCTGGGTTCAATCCTCAATACCAAAAAAAAAAAAGTGCTAAAAGTACAAAAACCTGTCAATTAAGAATATAGCATCAGGGTCTCTGCAGCCGCGGCACAAGAAAGTTTCTTCCAGTTTTTGACAGAGTATTGGTCGAAAGGGGTGCAGCCGAAACTGTAACCAAAGGAGGCATTATGCTTCCAGAAAAATCTCAAGGAAAAGTATTGCAAGCAACAGTAGTAGCTGTGGGATCAGGCTCTAAAGGAAAGGGTAGAGAGATTCAGCCAGTTAGCGTGAAAGTTGGAGATAAAGTTCTTCTCCCAGAGTACAGAGGCACCAAAGTAGTTCTAGATGACAAGGATTACTTCTTATTTAGAGATGGTGACATTCTTGGAAAGTATGTAGACTGAAACAAATCACTGTTGAAATGGCATCCTATGAAGCTGCCCTGTCCACTGAAGTTCTGAAATCTTTCATCATATAAATAATTTCCGTGTCTCTTTTAAAATAAACTGATGATAATCTAATAATAATTTAAAAAAATATATAGTATCAGAGCAGGGCATGGTGGTGCACGCCTGTGACCCAGTGGCTTTAGAGGCTAAATCAGGAGGATTGCGAGATCAAAGCCAGCCTCAGCCACTTATTGAGGCACTAAGCAACCTTGCCTCTTAAAAAAATAAAAATAAATAATAATACAAAAAAGGGCTGGGGATGTGGCTCAGTGGTTATGTGCCCCTGGGTTCAATCCCCAGTAGCAGAAAAAAGAAAAGAATATAGCATCAGGCAAAACTGCCTTTAAAAAATAGAACAGAAATTAAGACTTTCTCAGGTAAAGAAAAACAAAAGCTAAGGGAGTTCTTTAGCACTCAACCTGCTCTACAAAAAGTGATGAAAGGATTCCTTCAAGTTGAAATGAAAGGATGATAAACAGCACACGATGATACAAGGTTCTCTAATACAGGCAAATACATGGATGAATATAATAATGTAGAACTAGAAAACAATAGCACAGTGAAAATCCACAGATATGTACAAATTAACTAACACTTTTAAACAACCAATAGTTAAAAGAAGAAGTCACAAGATAAATTTTAAAAAATGCATTGAAATTAAATGAAATGCCAACATACCTATGAACTGACCGTTGAGAGGGAACTATTTTAGCTGTAAATAGGTACAAATGTTCAAGAAAGATCCTGAAGCAGGGCTGGGTTGTGGCTCAGGGGTAGGGAACTCATTTGACACATGTGAGGCCCTGGGTTCGATCCTCAGCACCACATAAAATTAAATAAATAAAATAAAGGCATTGTGTCCAACGACACCTAAAAATATAAATATTAAAAAAAAAGATCCTGAAGCAGCCACCTAACTTTACACTTCAAGAAACTAGAAAAAGAATAGCAAGCTAAACTCAAAGCTAGCTAAAGGAAGGAAATAGTATAGATCAGAACAGTGATAAATGAAACAGAATGGAAAAACAATAGAAAAAAAATAGACAAAACCGAGTTGTTTTTTTTAAAAGGTTAGAAAAATTAAGAAAACTTGAACTAGATTAACTTTTTATAGAGAGATAACTAAAATCAGAAGTGAAAGAGGGAACCCTATAATTGATACCACGGTAGTAAAAAGATCCTGAGAATACCATAACAATCACACTCCCAAATTGCACCATCTAGAAGAAATAAATGTTTAGAAACACATAACTTATAAAGACTGAATCATGAAGAAATAGAAAATCTGAGATCAATAATGAGTAAGGACATTAAATCAAAAATTTCCCAAAAAAGTAAAGTCCAAGGCCAGGTGGCGTTACTGGGGAATTCTACAAAATGTTTAAAAAATTATCATTCTCAACGCCTCACCCTACACTTAGGGAGCACCGAAACTCAAAGTGTTAAAGGCTTAAGTCTAATTGAGCCTCAAGTATTTTGCTAACCCTAGAAGAACATCCCCTTTTAGTAAATGGGTGGAGATTCTGCCCCGGAGAAATTCCTGTCTGGGAATTGGCTCAACCTCCATGAATCCAGGAGTGACAGCCCAGCCATCCTGATCCCCTAGTGGTCCCCAGCCCTCCTCCAGTCCCTGTGGGAATGGCAGCTTCACACCTGACCAGGCAACCTCACATGTCCACTGAGATCTGAGCAACCTCGGGGCCAAGAAGAGTGCTGCTGCGTGTGTCCCTAAACTTTTCCTAATGCCTTTCCCTTATGACTCTCGGGTTCTAGCTAACTCCTCATAGTGCACAGCCTGGTACACTAGCTTGATGTGTCACCCCCTGTGTCACCCCCTGTCCCACACCAGGTCTCCTAACTGGACCCAAGTTAAGTGGGGCAGTGCTGCAGTTGGGAGCTGGAATGTCCCTCAAAGGCTGGTGTGTTAAATATTTGGTCCCTGGCCTGGTGCTACTGGGAGGAGGTAGAAACTTTGGGGAATGGGAAGTCTTTAGCTCAGTGGGGAAATGGCCTGCAAAGGGATTGGGGGACCCCAGTCCCGTCCTCTTGGTCTCTCTCACTCCCTGGCCATGAGTTGCATGGCTTTGCTTCACGGTGTGATCTTGCCAAGATGGGCCACCAACAGGACAACAATCATGGACTGAAGCCTCTAAAATTATGAGCAGCCAAAATAAAGCTTTTCTCTTCGTAAGTTGATTTTCTTAGGTATTTGTAGTGATGAAGGTTGACTAAAACAAGGGACAAGGCCCAGGATCCTGGGCTCCTGGACCAATACTAGCCCCAAGGCCCTGGTGCATGGTGAATGGTTATTCTTTTTTTTTTTTTTTTTTTAGTACTGGAGATTGAACTCAGGGGCACTCAACCACTGAGCCACACCCCCAGTCCTATATTATATTTTATTTAGAGACAGGGTCTCACTGAGTTGCTTAGCGCCTCGCTGTTGCTGAGGCTGGCTTTGAACTCCTGATCCTCTTGCCTCGGCCTCCTAAGCCACTGGAAGTACAGGTATGTGCCACCATGCCCAGCGAACAGTTATTCTTACGGGTAATGGAAGCACTGGAGACTTTCCTTTTTTTCTGATACTGGGGATTGAAACCAGGGGTGAATAACCACTGCGCCACACCCCTAGTCCTTTTTATTATTTATTCTTATTTTGAGACAGATTCTCACTAAGTTACTTAGGGCCTCACTAAGTTGCTGAGGCTAGCCTCCAACTCGTGATCCTCCTGCCTCAGCTCCCAAGCCACCTGGAGTCTTTCTATTATGAATACTGAGACCTGGGCCTTCCCCAGACCCAGTGGGCAGGCCTGGGGGTCTGCAGTTTTCCCAGCCCCCAGGAGGCTGAGTCAATTGGCCCAGGCTGGGCTGGAGCACACTTTGAGAGTCTTAGGTGGTATGACCTGTATTAGCTGCACCCCTTCTTTTCTGTATTCTAAGTCTTTCTGATCCTGCAGGGACTGACCCCTGTCCCCACTCCTACACTGGTCAATTCCTAGAGATGCTAAAGAACTCACCTTCTACCACACCTTACAAATGCAAACCAACCAACTCCAGTCCACACCATCACCTCCTTTGGGAGGATCTCACTCTGGGCTACTACCCACCGGTGCTCATCACTCCAGGGCCAGAGACCAGAGAACCAGGGAGAGCCTTCTGCCCCAAAGCCTGCTGAAGTTCTCCAAGCTAGGAATCCTGCACCTGCTCACCACGGCAAGGCTGCTGCCCACAGTTCTTCCTCGCGCTCTGTCTCTAACTGGCCCTCGGGCTGCCCATGTGGCCCCTGTGGCATGCTGTGCCCCTTTCTGCTGGGAACTATGGTCAGCAAACTATGTTTCACTGGCAGCTGTCTCCTGATCTTGGGATTGAACTCAGGGGCACTCAACCACTGAGCCACATCCCCACCTGAATAGTAACACCCGTATGAACACAGGGCCCGGCCTTCCCTCTGCAGAGCTGGCTCACAGTGGCCTAGGCCAGCTAGCTGCCTTTCACCTGCCAAGCCCACACAGTTAGCAGCAAAACTGCTACCAGAGCCAGCAGGCCCCACCCGGCCAAACGCCTCCTGGACCTGGTCATTTGGTAGCTTGCCCGCATCTCTAGGAGCACAGGGCACTCAGCCTCAGCCATGCCCTGTGGGTGACCCTGGGGAAACACTGTGCTCCCCGTGCCTCGGTTTCCCCTTTTAGAAAATGGGTGGCGCTCCTCCTGCCCTCCTTGAGGCTCGCATCTGTGAGTGGCACCACCAGTAAGACTGACCATCATCCCTTCCTAGGGTGGGGGATGCCCACCATGCAGCATGGGAGTAGAGGCTCAAGCGTAAGGTCGCTGCCCAAGGTTTCAGGTGGGGCTGGCCTGGCTTTTCCCAGCAGACCCCACCCCAGGAACCTCCCCTGGCATGTGTGCTTCTTATTTGAAAACAAGGCACAGATGTCATAGACCACAGATCTCAAACCCTCCCCAAGGAGGGCCCCAACCGACCGTACCTGAGATGGAGGAAGAGAGGCCTACCTGGGCCAGGCCGGTGTCCTCCTCAGCTCTAGCAGGGCTCTTCTCGGGGTCAGGCTCCTCACCCACGTCACTGTCAGCCTCCTCCTGGGGGCTGTCCTGCAACGCCTGGCTGTCCACACCAGTCTCAGAGTGCAGCCCCAGCATCGTAGGACCTGGGGGGACCTCAGTGCCCTCCTCACAGGGGAAGCTCTCACAGGTTATACTGGAGGACGGGCTGTCAATCCCACTGTCCCGGTTGGGGATCTTCATGATGCTTCTGGGCTCCCCCAAGGGGCAGGTGTCTGGAGTGCCATCTCCTGCTGCAGCCGGGCTGTCAGGATCCCCTTGGTGGGTGCCAATTCCAATAGGAAGCTCCCGAAGCTTCCCCAGGGAGGAGCTGCCAGGCCCAGCATTGGTGACAGCTTCTGGGGACATTGAGGATCCCTCACCTGATTCCATCCTTGAAGCAGAACTCAGTGGGCTCTGTGGGAAGCTGCCAGGGAGAAATGAACCCAGCTCAGGGGAGCCCCTGAAAGCAGCCCCAAGACAAAGTCAGGTAGGGCTGCATTCGCAATGTCGACACCCTGGTGGACTTCAGCGGGGTCCTGTCTGGATAAGCTGTCTGAGAACGGCACAGGGAAAATATGTTATTTTAAAATCATGTTCTTCTACATTAAAAAACAAAGTCATTCTCCAGTGTAGCTGTGGCGTTCCTGTGGGATGAGGCCATCCAATGCTCAGTAAGTTCAAAACAACCACGGCCAGAGCACAAGCACAGCGGCTTCCATTCATAACGCACTTTTGTGTCCATAGTATTTTGGGAGCTGATGATACTCCCAGGAGATGAGGCTGGGGTCCCCAGCACCTTCACCTCCTCTCCCTGGCCATTACCATCACCTGCTGCACAGTGAGGAGCAACCTGCCCAGCCCTGACCTCCCACTGCCTCCCAGGGGGAGGGCCAGGTGAGAGGTGGGAAGGTGGGTCTTGCCCCAGGATATGGGCTCAGGCCTTTGCCTCGGGTGATGGTCACTTACCTCTTAGCTAATGCCACTGAGGTTTGACAGGCGGGTGTCTGCTTCCTGTTGGGTTCTGGGGTTGGCCGGCAGAGGCTGGACGATTTGATGGAAATCTCCTGCCTAGCAGGTTTGAACTGGAGCCATTTGGGACCTACTGGAAAAGCAGCAGAGGAGAATGGAAACCGTCTCCTCCAGCTGGCACGTGGAGCAGCCCCAAGACCCAGTTCTACAAGCAGCGGGTGGAGAAGGGCAGCTCAGGCCCCTCCCAGAGCAGCAGACCCCCAGGCAGGGCACAAGTGTCTTCGAGATGGACGCAGGACATGGCAAAGCCCATCCTTGACCTCTATGGCCACACGCATTGCAGAGCAGGACAGGGTGGCACCAGCGGCCACACCCCATGCGTGGGCAGTGCCCTGCAACCAGGAAGGACAGATCACCTTAAATATGCAGGAAGTGCCCAGAATGAGGAGAGCCAAGGGCACCACCTGGCCTCTCCCCAGCCCACACCCCTACCTTACCTGGACACCCTCGGGGACATTCCCCTGTACTCACACACACACACACACACACACACACACACACTCACACTCACAAAGTAGCTCCTATACTCCCATTGACACGCACACCGTAGCTACCTGGATCACAAACACATTCACACAGTAAGGCGCACACACGTTAGCTCTCTCACATGCCCACATTGACACACAGACTCATATACACTCACACTCAGATACTCTTCTTCCAGAAGCTTCTTTATGTGCTTCCTCCCTCACTGCTAAGCACAATAAATGGTGATCAGTGCAGAAACTGGTTCCTCCGGGTACAGGCTGTCTTCCCTGAGCTGGCACCTGGTGGCCTCACCACCCAGAGAGCACAGCACACAGCCCACTGTGGGACCAGCTCCTGCGGGCGTCCCCTGTGACTTTAGGAGCCAATGAGTGCCTGCAAAGCTCCTCCCCACTCACACAAGCTCCTGAAAATTTACTTTCCTGTGGTAAGACTACCTCTGAGTGGACCTTTCTTCAAGTGACTTCAGGTGGACATTTATCATTGGCTACTGCCACATTCTTAGCTAGCTTAATGGACACAAATATTAAGATTTCCCAACAGAAAATACATGTTTTGCTGCATTCTTGTCATAGCATGGGAGATAAACTCAAGTTTCCAGAAGTCAGACATGACACTGAGATAAAAGTACACGGATGGAATGTGGGCTGTGCTCAGCCCTGGTGTCCAAGAGGCAGCTGTCTGGCAGGGCAGAGTCTGGTTCAACCCCAGCTCAGAGGAATTCTGCTTCTGGTCAAGGTGGAACAACAGAAACCAGATTTATTCTCACCTGAAACAGCAGGATATGAACAAGACTCTGTAAGCCAGTCAGCAAAGCCCCGTGAACCCTGAGAGGAGGGATCAAATGGGACAAGCCTCCCTGATGCTCCCACTCACTGTCTGCAGACCATGCTGGGCCGAGGAGTGGGGACGGGAATTCTCCAAGTTGAGAAGACAGAGCTGGGCGTGCCCTAGAGAGGAGAGAGCCACACAGAGAAAGAACCTGGAGATGTGAAGGGGGTCCTTCAAGGACTGTTCACATGTCGATGTGAGGAAACAAGAGAGGCTAGAGAAAGAATGGCCTGAGAAGATCAGAGGGAACATTCCCTGAAGCTCCCACAGGGCAAAGCAATCCCTCTTCCTACCAGCCAGTCTTGAAAGGCCAAGGCTGACACACAGACTCACCTACACTCACACTCAGATATTCTTCTTCCAGGGCATTAGGGCCAGAACTCAGGAGGGACATGCCCTAAGAGTGGGGGTTAACCCTACGGTGACCATTGCTCTGATCCCACCTAACAAATCTTAACAGGAAGGCCAAACTGTTAACAACTTAGCTGCATCCCTGAAGAGAGCTCAAAAATACTCAAATAATTTAAAAACAAAACAAAACCCAGCTCCCAGCAAAAGAAGGCACAATGTCTAGAATCCAATCAATCATTACTAGACACACAAAGAGACTATACAACCCATAATAAGGGAAAAAACAAACAAAACAAAACTCCATCAATTGGAACTGACCATAGCAGACAAAAGATGTTGGAGACGGCAGACAGGAACATAAAGACATGGGTTATGTCTGTATTCGAATGATGGTGACAGAGTGGTCACTGCAAGTCACTGTGATCCTGCTCAGCTTTTGCTGACTTGGTTTGGTGGCTTTACATCTAAACCCCAGCAAGACCATATCAGCAGTGAGCAAGGCACAGGTTGCCCTGACCACACCAGGTAAGATGACTGAGGGCCAGCCAAATCAACACCTCCTCAAGGCCTGCAGGTGCCCAGAAGCACTGAGTACTCACCTCGGGGTCTCAGCCTGGGAAGTGCTTGGGTAGTCACTGATGAAACTGGGGTTCTCTGTCTTCACTGCTGAGAACACAGCGGGGTGCCTCATGCCTTGGAATTGGGGTGGGAGTCAGAACAGGAAAGAGGTACCAGGGCAAGCTGGATGGAGAGAAAAGGAGACAAAGGTGTATCTGCCTCTGTTCAGATGCCGCAGTCAGATACTCACAAATCCAGGTCACACTTCCACCTCTAAAAGTGACTTGTACTGTTTAAAACTGGGTGAGTCTGCTCTAGTTGGGATTTTAAATCTCTCTCAAGTGTCCATGTGCTAAAGGCTTGGTCATCAGACTGTGGTGCTACTGGGAGGTGGTAGAAGCTTCTGGAGGCAGGGTAGGAGTTGGCTCACTGGGAGTCTGTCCTGGAAGGGGATATTGGGATCCCAGCCTTTTCTAGTCTCTCTTTTTAATTTCTGGCTGCCTTGAAATGAATAGGCCTCCTCCACTAATGTACTGTGCCACCATTGACCCAAAGCAATAAGGCCAAGTGACCATGGACTGAAACCTTGGAAACCATGAGCCCCCAAAAACCTTTCCTCCTTGTAAGTTGATTTATCTCAGGTATTTGTTACAGCAATGAAAAGCTGACTAACACCAATGGATAAGCAAAATGCAGACTATCCATACAATGGTATGGTATTCAGACTTAAGGAAGGAGGCTGGGACATATGCGACAACATGGATGAGTCTTGAGGTCATTATTCTGACTGAAATAAGCCAGACACAAAGGACAAATTATTATTATTATTATTAGTAGTAGTAGTAGTAGTAGTATAATTATTATTAGTATTATTCTACTAATCTGAGCTTATGTGGGAAGGGAGGAGCTCTGCGGGTACCCATTGGCTCCTATAGCCACAGGGGACACCGCTGGAGCTGGCCCCACACTGGGCTGTGTGCTGTGCTCTCTGATTTTTGGGGGAGTTCGTGTTCCTGGGACCAAGGACACCTCATTGGGTGACAAACCCAGAGGGAGAAGAAAGGGGAGGAATAGAGAGCCCTGCCCATTCAGGAGGGTCAGTCAAGCTCACCAGAGGCTCCAGGCAACCCCAGCCTCATAGATGGTCCTGCCTGGACTTTACCCTGCTCTGACCCCAGGCCCGTCTTCTGGGCTCTCCCTGGGGACATGACAGCCCCTCATCCCCCCACGCTGAATGTGGCATGGCCAACCTCAATACATTGTTTCATCTTGAAGGCAACATAACCATTATTGGCCCCAAGACTTTGCATCTAGCATGACCCTGTTTCTACCCTTTACTGTCCAGACAACCAGGTTCAAACTCAGTGTCCCCCAGCCTTAGTCTCCTAAAGCATCTCCAGGCCTCTGTCACAAGCAGAGGCTGAAAGTTCTATTCAACTGCAGCAGAACTTGGTAAAATCATGCCACTGGCCCAGAAATAATGATTTTTGTCTGAGGTTGGAAGAGCAGAAACTCAGGGATAGTAAGCCCAGGAATGCATGGAGGTCGACACATGGAAATGTAGCAAACAGTTCTAGCATACCACAGGGTTGCTGTGTCCAGGAAACCAAAAGCAGTACCATTTTTACTTATGTGTTTACTTAGTACTTTTTGTTTGCTTTCTATTTTTATTTTCTCTTTAAATTTTCTACTTTATTTATTTATACTTTATATTCATTTCCTATATTTAGTCTCTATTTTGATTTCTTTCATTGAGAAGGAACATAAATACCAACATTACAGCCATGAATGAAATATTACTGTTCATTGTCATACATTAAAAAAAATGAGAAAAATTAAGATTCAACCTTTAAAATAGAATAAGATTCCTTCCCTGTGCGAGTAGCTAGATATATGGTAAAGCAAGTAGAATCTCAGGATGGACACACAGCTGTTCCCTGAAAAATTATTTGAGGGAATATATTTGGCTATATATTTGAAAATTTTCATAATAAATATTGGAACAAACAATTTACCCTGTGGCCCCCAAGATCTTTAGTCCCCCTCGTGAGGGAGGAGAGATTCTGAATTCCATTCTTTCCATACATTCAGGCAGCTTCTCCCAATGAACACCCTGGGCTCCTGACATCATTCTACTTGTGATAATGCTTGATAATTCCCATTTTAAAAAAGTAAATGAATAATCCCAGCAACTCAGGAGGCTGAGGCATTAGGATCTTAAGTTCAAAACCAGCCTCAGCAACTTAGAGAGGCCCTAAGCAACTTATGAGACCCTGTTTCAAAATAAAAAAATAAAAAGGGCTGGGGATGTAGCTCAGTGGTAAAGCATCCCTGGGTTTAATCCTCGTTATCAAAAAAAAAAAAAAGTAAATGAAACAAGACAAAAAAACAAGAACTTCTTGGCAGCCTCCAAGCTAAACCAAAATTCTCAATATATGTGTCCCGTTTGACCTCTCCTTCCACCCACCTCCCTGAAACCAGCTTTCTTCCAGAAGCCCCATCCCATGCATCGTACCACGTCAAGGACCAGCACCCCTCACGCCCTGTTTTATCCAGCTCTCTGCTCCCGACAGGCCCTCCCTAGAGAAGACACCCCCCCACCCTACCTGTCCTGCTCTCCCTCAGAGCATCTCTTTCCCCCACCGATTCCCCCTCGTCATCCTCCTCCCTCTCGGGATGTAAGTGACGTAGGAAGAGCCTTATCTCCTTCATGCAGCCCTAGGCCTGGTACACAGGACTCCATATTTGGGGGGAATAAATACATGCATTAATTTGAACTGGCAGAGCAAGGAGTTTTTATATCCCCTCTAAAATGTTCTTTCCCTTAAACAAAAATATGTTTTGACTGAGTCCACATTTCAAAATAACAAAATCCAAGTTGAGATCACGAAAGGCCCCATTCCACCTCAGAGCAGTCCTGGCTAGGCCAGCCATCACATCATCTTGTCTAAACACACAGTGACCAGTCAGGCCACAGCTGAGACAGGGAGGTCCAGATGGCCAATCCCCCTCACCAAGTCCCAGGTTTGACTTGTAAGAACTAAATGTAGAACCCCCCACCCTCCACAACAGAACCTGCATAGATTTAAAAGGTCCATCATCAGACAGAATATGGGGTCTAATTGAGCAGACCCCCCAACTTCACAGGATGTAAGTGATCAGGTTATCCCCCTTCACAGACCTGAGAGTCCAGTTGTCCCTCACTGGACAGGCAGGGGGAAGAGCACTGCAGACAGCAGGGAAGGCAGGAAGATTAAGCAAGCCAGGGGATGTGAGGCTGTAGTTGAGGTGTTGGAGGCGGGCAAAGAGGGAGGGGGAGGGGCAGAGACTGGTGGGGCCAGGACGGCTCTTGACAGACAGCCACGAGGCGACCCAGTTGGTAAGATGAGCTCCATTCTGATTTTTTTTTAAAGATGGTAGGATGCAAGGAGGATCCGTTTGTGGGGGCCTGGAAGCCACACAGACAGTCGGTTGATGGTTATAGAGGATACTGTCCTAGCACCTGAGTCAGGGAACCCAAGGAAGAGCAGGGCACAGTTAGGCCAAGCATCCCCCTCTGCAGAGCTGGAGGTGCCGTGTGCACAGGGTCATGTCACCAGACTGCAGTAGGCTTGTCCCCAGACTGTCATGTGGCTGTCCCTATTTCACACAGGGTCTTTCCCCACCCTATTCTTTGCTACCAGCAAAGACACATCCATGGCTGGCAGTGGCCCATTTCCTCCACTGGACACTGACTCCCTCGTCACCTACCAGGACCCATAAATATCTGCAGAACGGAGGATCCAGTGACCCGAGGAAGTTGATGGCAGTGAATGAAGGGCCCCTCATCTCTTGTCTCCTTCCTGGGCTGGCATGGCCCCTGCTCACTGCCAGTCACCCTGTGCAGGGACAGGCAGGGACAGGCTGTCTCTGCAGTGGCCGGCTCTGTGCTTTCTTTTGTCCTTGTTCGTTGTTTTTGACACACACTCATCCCTGAGCCTCCTTGTAGCTGCAGAACACTCCACAAACCCTGTCTCCTCTGGGTTTCACATCTGCCCA